AGCAACATATTCGATTTTAATATTCATATGGCGTCGTCATAAATTTCATGACAACGGCAAAGGCAAAGCGAGCAGAACAGAGCAGAAACAGAGCAGAAACAGAGCAGAACAGAACAGAAACAGAACAGAGGAAAGCGTGCAATATATGAGGGCATTGATACCGACTCCGCTCCTCTCCACTCTTCCTCTCCGCTCTGCCTGCCGCATCGATAGAGTTATTATCAGCACAGTTCGTGGCTGAATTAAAGCTGGAAAATCACAAGTCACGGGGCAAACTACGGCTGTGCTGTACTCGTTAGATGAGGGCACACAAATATGTGGCGCCCAATTTGTGTATTTTTCCTGTTTTTTTTCCAGGCAAGTGTTGTACTCTTTTTCTTTTTGACCCTCTGTATATGGCACGTGATGGGTTGGCCTTGTCTCCAGGAAACTCTGAGCGCTCTCTGCTAAGCCTACTCCTGTGTCCTCTTTGCTTCTTCTTTTTTTTTTTAATAATACCCAAAGTCCTTTTTGACTGGATAATCACATGGGTGTGCATGTCATTTGCCATGGCACTGCTCTGTTCTGTTTGGTTCTGCTTTCTCAATTACGCACATCTCTATGGGTCTCTCTCTGGGTGTCCTTTTAAAGCGTCTTCGAGGAGAAAATCACATGTGCCACATGCGAGGAATTAAACAACAAACAACCCCAAAGAGAAGCAGCGACCAGAGTAGGACTTTTGCCCAGGGATGGATGGGCAGCAGGCAGCAGCAGGCAGCAGACAACCGACTACGCATTGCTCATTACAGCAGCAGCAGCAGCAACAACAATAAAGAAGGGCCAGAGCCGAACCAAACCAAACAGAGATTCTCTTTTGCTCTGTCCTGTTCTGTTCTGTACTGTTCTGATGACGCTGACACCCCTTTGCTTCCGTCTCCGGGCCTGTGTCCGGGGTCCGGGGTCCGTCTCCGTGGCGCACTTCAAAAACTTAACCGTTAGGCATATGCGTGATTATCTTTCCCACTGCCAACAACAACAAGCAGAATAAGAAGAGGTAGAGTCAGAGGCAGAGGCAACCCTTAGAGTGGGCAGAGAGGCAGAGGCAGGCAGTGGCAATGGTGCATGGGGGAGGTACCGGGTACCGGGGCCCTTCAACAATTGCGCGCTGACCCAGTTACCCGGCAACAAAGGCGGAAGCAAAAGGAAACGTGCTGAAAGAGAGACGAGAGACAAGGCGCGGAGAGCAGGGTATGAAAAGGCACATGTCATCATAGAAATCAGTGAGTGCTGGCCAACAGCTCTCTGCCTCTCTGCTCCTGCTCCTCCTCCTTCTATACTGTCTCCGCTGTGTGGCACTGGGCAAGCCCTCGGCTATGGAACGTTGCTTATGACAAACAAAAAAAAAAAAAAAATGAAAGGGGAAAGGGAGCAAAAATGGGCGTACAGAGAACGGTAGGCGGTAGGCGGTGGACGGTGGTCGGGGGGCGGTACGCAAAGGAAGAGCAGTGGGAAAATTCATTAAAATGGCACAGAGGCGAGACAACAATGAAACGGTCCACTTGGGTCCGCAAACCGGCGGACAGTAGCCAGTGGCCCAGTGGCTTATCGGCCAGGCCATATGTGCCGCACACACACACACACACTTTAAGAGCGAAAAGGAAAGAGTGAGAGAGAGTGGGGAGAGAGAGATGGGTGCAGAACGGACTCCCAGTTAGTAATCAAATATTTAGCATACTTTTTAGAAAGCATATTAAAATAACATTTCCGGTCAGCTTGGCAAAAAGGAAAGCAAATCGTCGCAAAGTCTCCCATCCAGCAGGCAGGCAGGCAGGCAGGCAGCAGCAGCAGCGGAGGGCATTAGCCGGAGTCCATGAACCGTGTAATGCACACACACTCACACTCGCACATCCATATAGAATGTGTGTCCCTGAGCGAGAAAGAGAGAGAGACGAAATCCCAGTAGCATGTGGAGCACACGGCACTTGGGGAGCGTTAATGTGCCATAACGAATGCATTAGAGACTGGGACTAAGTAAGCGCAGTTAGTTAGTTCCACTGAAAGGGTTGCTCGAGCCGCAGCGAGCATGAGACACGTGACGGGGGTTGGAGCAGGGTATTTAAAATTTAATTACCCACTACAGTAATCCACCAGCCCAGCCCAGCCTCCCTCCTCCTGCTCTGCGGCATAAAACGAAATCCAATATGCTGTCCAGCAGAAGGCACACAAAAAATATGCTATGCTCTGAAGAGGAAAACATATGTTGTTGGCTGCTGCTCTGGCTGTTGTACATGGCCCGCGGAACAACAATGAACAGCAGCCTCCCAGCCCACTCCCAGCCCATCTGATATCATTACTCAGCCACCCCAAAACACACACACGCAGCCACAGACACACACACGCGAAAGCAGGAGAGGCTTCCGTTTTTTTGTGCTCTCTTTTGGGCTCTCTGATTCGTTGTTGTTGTTGTTGATATTATCAAGTTAAGTGCTCTTGCGGTTGCCATATATACCCTCTCTCCCTCTTTCTCTCTCCGAGGGTATTAAATATTTAAAAGGTGGGAAAAAAGCGCTGTCGAACCTTGTGCCTTAATTTTAAAGCTATTTAGATTATGGAATGTTGTTTCATTTCATTTTACATACTTAACTCTGATGAATCGTAAATCAAAATAGCTCAAAGCAATAACCAGAATTGGCAAATAATCCTCAAAATATCCTACCCACCTTTGCGCACTGAAAAGAGCCAAAACAAGACTGTCGCGACGATCCTCTCATTGAACCGAACGCCTAAGAGCAGCAACAAAAAGTGTCACCAGAGCAGAAGAGCGCAAAATAGTAAAAAGAGCAAACAAAAACGGATCATGGCTTGAGCGGAGAGTTTTATGAGCAAACCCCGAATCGATTGTGTTTTTATTTCGTTCCAACTTTAAATTCTGTCCGTAATTTAAATGTTTTTATTTATTTAATTGTATTAAGCGTAATTAACGCGTTTTGAAAATATGAATAGCATAAGATCGCTGGATCTGCCAAGGGTATCTACGGCAAAGCCTCTCCCTGCTGCCCTGCTGCCCTGGCTGCTGCTGCCTTTGTCTATTGCACACCCACGCCTGCTCTCTCTCTCTCTCTCTCTCTTTCAATTCCTCTCTAACTCCCTCGCTCTCTTTCTATACACATTTGCGTGTGTGGTGTGCGTTTTGGCTTTCTTTCTTATTATTCCTATTACCACACCACACCACACCACATGTTGTTTTTGTATTTAAGCTAATTCTTTTATGTGTATGGATATGTGTGTCTGTCTGTCTGTGGTTTTCTGTCTGTGTGTTTGTACAGGGGAGCATATAAAACGTGCAGCCACATAAAAATAAAACCCAAACAACAAACAACAAATAACAAAAGCAAAAAAATAAACCAACAACAAAAAGCAGCACAGCATAAAGCAGAAAAAGCAGAAAGCGCGCAACGGATGATAAGCCAAGTGGCAAGAATTCAAGCGTAGTCAGCATTGATAGCTGATGGAGTGGAGCTGCCTGGATGGGCGGTTTGGGTGGGGGGGGAGATGGCATAAAGGTGCCTACTTCACACAAAATTACCCTTTTCAATTTGTGTGTGCGGTGTGCAGAAGCAGCAGGACCAGCAGGAGCAGGAGCAGTAGCAGGATGGGGAGAGTGGAGCACATGAGCATTCCCCCTAGCCAGATCTCGTTTATTGACTTTTTGTCATTGCCGCTAATGCATAGCAGCGGTAGCAGCAGTAGCAGCAGCAGCAGGAACTGAACAAACAGACATATGTATGTACGACCCACTCTCGCACACAGGCATATCCTGCTTAGTCCTGCCAGAGGATAATACAGTCAGCTATGGATGGGAGCCATAGCTCGGGGGGAGGCTGGGCTGGGGATAGCTGCTGTGTAGCAGCTTTATTTTTATGGGGCGCATTACGTTTAATGTTTGGCTTAACTCGGTTACTCTCGATGCTCCCACTCCCACTCCCACTGCCTCTCTCTCTCTCTCTGTACCACTGTGGCACTCTGATTGTGGCTGCCTCTGATTCCCAGACATTTCTATAGCTGCTGCTCCTGCTCTGGCTCTGCGTCTCTGGCTGCTTTCGGTGAGTGCCGTAATTAAGTGTCACATGTAATTACAATACACTCATGTGCTTTGTAATTAGAGTTTAGCGCAGCAGCACCACAAAAAAAAACAAAAAAAAAAACAAAACAAAAATAAGTAAGAGAAAACCAGAAGGACCACAATGCGAAACTTTCGAATGGCTAATTCAAATGAATATAATCCGCCATTCTGTGGAGCTGTGCAATTATTTGCATTGTTTTTTTTGTCGTGGTGTGGGGGGATAATTTCACATTTTTGGGACAAGCGGATTTAAGTTTGATGGATGCTGGGCATCCCGAATGGTTGGTCAGTAAATAGCAAGGAAAATATTTGAACAGTCAAAACCAAAGCAAAAAGCATGAAGCGGAATGACGATGATGCTGATGATGATGATGCTGATGGGTAGGGGATAATAACTATAATTTACTCTGTTCTACTGTCTGTTGACTCTTGACCGAAGCCCTCCCCCCAAACCACAAGCCCCAAACTACTCTCGAAATGGGGGCAGAAATCCACCCCCCTTTGTGGATGGATGCGCTCTGTAATTTATTTAACTTGCGTAAATATTAAATATTTATATTGTTCTCTCTCTCTTATTTTTCTCTTTTTATGTACGTATATAATGTATACCTTCATCTACTACAACTACAACTACACAACCACTACCAAAATAAATATATATAAAAAAAAAAACCAACTACTGCCTACTGAAAAACAACTACTGCTGTAAAAAAAAAAAAAAAACCATCTGTAACCAATCTTCAAATCTGTGCCTCTGCCTGTGCCTTTGCCTCTGACTTGTGCCTCTGCCTGTGCCACCTCGCTCTTGCCACACTGCATCTGTATCTGCATCTGTATCTGCATCTGAATCTGCATCTGTATCTGTCTACTCTGTAAAATTGTTCCACCGAATGCGCAGCGCGGAAGCGACGAACTTTTGAGTCAAGCAGCAGTCATGGCGCCCGCTTCCGACAATAATAATCAGGACCTGGCCACAAAGAAGGCCAAGCTGGAACCGAGCACCGTGCTGGCCGGCGGAATTGGTAAGTCTCTCTTTCTCACTATTCTCACTATCTCCTTCCCTTCCCTCTATTTTCCTTTTTCCCCCCATCTATCATCTGAGCGCTGTGTGTTTCTCTCTCTCTTTTGCTTCTGGCTTAACCTGTACAGGCATAGTTTTTTTTTTTCTTTTTTAAGCACTGTGCCCCGCCAATTAGCCGCCTTGACTTGGCCTTAAACTTGGCCACAAAGTCGCCAGTTGCCAGTCGCCTGCTCTGGCTCCCCAACTGAAGGCACTTTGTGGCCTATGGCCAATTAACCTACTAATTAGCATGGAAAACAAGTCAACACACACACACACACGGGGAAAAAATAAAAACAAAAAAAAAATCGTATGCCCCCTTTTGTTAGCCAGCAAATTATTAAGGGGGGGGGGGGCGCACAAAAAAAGTGTATGGTTGCGTTTACAGGACACCGACTGACCACGCACTGTGTCGGCACATTAATTAGCCCCACACACACACACATTGCTAAGGGTGAAACGTGAACCCCGCTCTCTGCATATTGCCACCGCAAAGTAATAAAGCTAATCAAAAACCGCACACCAAAACCCAGTCAAAACCAAACCAAACCAAGCCAAAACGCGAGCCAAAGCGAAAGCAAAACCAGCAGAATGAACCACACATTAGGCAAATATTTGACAGGTTCGCTCGCTGGCTGCCTGGCTGCCTGGTCGTCGGATTGGATGGGCTGGCAGCGGGAGCAGCAGCAGCAGAGCACTGGCTAAAAATCCACTGAACCACAAAATGATTGCCAGTGCAAACAAATCAATGGGCAACAATTTCCGGCTGAAATTCAAAAGTAATCGACTGCTCGTCCACCAACCGACTGCCATTCTGCCTGCCTGCCCTGCCCGCCCGCCCGCCTATCGATTCTTGTCTGTGTGTTTATTGTTGTTGTTATATTGGTCCTTCTGTTGTTGTTGTTGTTGTTTTTTTGCAGGCGAATTTAATTAACGCCATATGCAGTGCAGGATCCTTTTTTTGGGCGGGGGATTTTCAAAATGCTTTTGAAATTTCACTGTAATTAACGGGGGGCATGCCACCACGGCCGCCAGGCATCGATGAGTATTTCTGTGTGTGGGTGCGCGACCACAAAGGGATCGGATCGACAAAAGGTTCATAGGGCGCGTAGGGCCTCAGAATTAGCCATTAGCTCTATGGCACTTTTGTTTCCCCCCCCCCCGCCAGCGTCAGACAGTCAAAGGTCACACACACTGGCAAACACACACAGACAGACACACACGCAAAAGTGGAAATGAGTGAAAGGAAAGGAGTGAAAATGGCAATCGACACTTGGGGGGAGGATGGAAAATAAACGCAGAAACCAGAAGCATAATATTTATTTATTACTTTACAAAGGACTTTTCTATTAATTAAAAAGCAACAAGCAGACAGTCCTTGTCCTCTCTTGCTCTTGGCTCTCTCTTTCACGCACTCACACACACACACACCAAAGGAGAACCGTTTGTGTGGTTCACCTTTCACCCTTCATCCTTGTCCATTGTTCGATGTCCACAAACGAGGCGGCTGGCGCTGACCCAACGGCATTTTGGTGGCCAGTTCATGCATACGCAGACCGACCCAGCTGCCAGCCAGTCGCCTGCCCCATCCCCTTCCCCTTCACCAACTGCCTCCTGCTTGACACCTGCCACCTGCGGCCATTTTAATTTTCCACGCAAAGTTCTTGTGCAAACACACACACACCCCACAGACGTGCACCGACTCTCACAGAGAGAGAGAGAGAGCGAGCGAGCGATTTTCCTCCTGCTCCATTAAAGTCGCGGCCAGCTTAAAGAGTGTGTAAGTGCGGCGGTCAGGGAGGAGGCGGAGGCCACCGGCGCTGGGTGGAGAATGGAGCATAAAGCGGGCAGGTTGAATGATGAAGTTGGGGGAGTGGGGGAGAGTGGAGCGAGTAGCTGAAATCCCAATGAATTCATTTATGTGGTCGCTGCCTGTATGGAAACCACTTAAAGCTCTCTCTCCCTTTCTTTTCTGCACCATTCTCCTCGTGATTTTTTTCGTTGTTTCTTGCTTGGCGATGCCCAAAAATAATAACAAAAGGAATTGCTAAATAAATGTATAAGGACACTTTTATTTCACTGCAAGCGAGCCAATACATGTGGCAGGAGGGAGAAGCATGAGCAGACTCAAAAGGCAGGCACAGTGGTACGTGGGACAAGAGGGATAACAACAAAAGCCAGACAAGTAAATAGCAAAAATCCAAAAAGCAACAATGAGCATTGTGTGTGGCAGTGTCCTCCACTTCACTCCACCCCCTCTCTCTCTTCTTCTCTCTGCCTGTGGGCCTTAGAAAAACACACGCACAAGGCGTACAGGAATTGGCCCAAAACTGTCATGCTGCTGCCTATCGACTCCTGCCATGTATATGGGCAGTGTCCTTTGGCATTGTCAATTGTATTTTTGTGTGTGCCACTAAAACCAATACATCGAGACACCACCAAACGCCGGGGCTACGGCTACATTGGCTACATTGGCAGCAGGACATGCAACAAATTTTTCACGTAAATGTAATAAAAACACTTTGGCATGTGCAGTCCATGGCCAGCAGCCACGCCCACCCACTTCAAGGCGTGGTGCTTCTCGGGATGGGGGGCCTGGGGCTGAAGCACACTTGTAATAAGTGGGGGTGATGGCGGGGCACACTTCTGCACCCCCCCCAGCCAACACCCAAATGCAAAAGTGTGCCCATTTTGTAGGTGGAGGGGGTTTGAGTCTGCTAATAAATAGTTTCGTTTGATTTATTTGATTTTTTATTATTAGGAATATTTTATGCAAGTTCTACGAGGCCCCAGGGAGTCGCCACAGCAGCAGCACCAGCAGCAGCCTATTTGAGTGGTTGCCCAAAGTCCGGACCTAGACCCTAGACCCTAGGCATGAATGGCATGACCAGGTCGCGTGTCTGCTTGGGAACATACTCCGTGTCGTATCGTGTCGTAGGTGAAAGCGTGGCCAGAGTCCGTCTGTTTTTCCTTTGTTGTCGCCTCACCGCCGCCACTCACTCCTCCCCTCTCTGTGTGTGTGGTTTCAGTTGGTTGTTTATTGTTACAGCTCTCACACATGCATCGCCCCCACACCACACACCACACACCCCACACCAAACAGAACCCAACAGAACCCAGCACAAGCACCAAACTCAAACATCACCTGCTGAAACACCGCGAGATCCGTTCGCTCGCTCGCTCGCTCATTCTGTTTGTATAGTCCACCAACATTTGTTTGTTTATTGACCGATTTTGGGGGCTTAACGGTCAACACACACACACAAACAAACACAGTTAAAGGTGTGAGGATATCGTGAGGGGGGGGTGATGGGGGGAGTACAGCTGCAGCTGCTGCCTCTGTTCGTGCGTATGGAATGTATTTTTTCGGTTGATTTTAGCATTGCTAATTCCTACGACAGACAAACGCCATGGAAAATATGTTGAAAAAATAACGAAAAAATTTACGCTCAACCAGCGTATCCTTGGCTGGCTTGGCTGACTACTCCCTTAAGCTCTTCAATCTGTAGCTTCAATCAATTTAAAGCTCCAAGGACTGCGCAGTCCCCTCGCCAGTCTCCGGCTGTCATCGATGACGGGAGGGAAGTGGCGTGCGAGGGCGAGTGTAGTAGCAGCCAATCCCTTTTGGACTGGTCAAACACTTAAACGCTTTTATTGCCATAACCAATAAGGCGACAGTTTGGCAGACATCGAGAGCGGTGTCCTGCGTGCCGCCTCGTCTCGGATATCATTCGCACGTCTCTTCTCTGCTGCTGCTGCTGCTGCTGCTCCAACTGCTATGCGTTGCGTGTAAATATTTTCCCAGTCAATAAAATAATATTGTCATAATTTTTTTTCTTGTGTTCTTTTTTTTTTTTGTTGTTGTTGCTGTTCGTGGAACGACGCGGTTTGTATCAATATTGAGACAGCATTGAAAGGAGGATAAAAATCCGTACCAGACCCAGACCGGAGGCAAACAACAATTGTCAACTGGTTTGGCAGACTGGCGGCCCCGGCCCCCACCAATTGTGGCTGGCCACTGTCCGTTGTCCGCTGTCCCCTGTTCGTGTGCAGCTATTTATGGCAGGCACTGTACGTGTGTGCGGTTAGTTGCACAGTTGAGCGTTTCATCATCGATATGGCCCTGGCTTGACTTTCGACTTGACTCTGTGACCCATCTGTGAGTGTGTGTTTGTGCCAGAGAGTCGGATACAGTGAATATTTGTGTGCAATTTAATTAAGCATACGCACCGTTGACGGCTCAGCAGAGCTCCCACTCTCGCTCTCGCTCTCTCTCTCTCTCTCTCTCCCTCTCTTTAGCTGAGTAATTATAATGCACAAATGGAGTGGAAAAGTTCTGCAAAGGCTAACAAACTGAAGCACTGCTCCTCGGTGTGTGCTCATAATTTATACAATTGATATACTTCATGGAGTTCGCAGCCAGAGAGCCTGCCATTGCACTTCCTCCCTCCGAACTGAGTTCTAGTTACAGACTCCTGCCCCAGTTACAGGCAGCAGGCACAGCGTCTCCGTCGCCGTCTCCGTCTGATGGCTGGCGGCTGAAAGACATGGAGGAGCTGCTGCTGCAGTCTGCATTCTGCAGTCTGTGTGTGGGCCACCCGCTAAAAGGCAATGCAGCTGCCGAGTGGAACCTACAGCAAAAACAGCAAAAAAAAAAGCACTATTTTCGTAATTGAAATGCAATTAAAATTTGTAAACGTCCCAGACTGCGTACATTGACTCTTGGCAAGGTCTCCACCCTGCAGCACCCCACACCCAGCACCCATCATCGTTCATCCTACAAACATTTTTTAATGAATTACATTTCTTGCGGGTCTTAGGCTCGAGCTGCTCAAAGAAAATCGTTATTTTCAATTATGCCACAGGACCTGTCTGGGTCCAAGAAGAGTAAAAAACTGAAAACTGAAAAATGTAAAATGTTAAAATGCAAAACGCAAACAAGGCCGCTGGCATTGAGTTTCATTTGCTGCCAAAACAACAACAACAACAAAAAATGTGCTTGGAAATAAAAAAAAATTGTGCCATGATTGATTATGCGTGGATGGCAAATGTTGAAATTAAAGACAAGAAAGGCCCTGCCAAAAAGCAAATATCATTAAGTCCTTATGCATACACAGACACAGACACAGACATACAGAGTGAGGGAGAGTGAGAGATGGCAGATGGGTGATGGGTGATGGGAGAGACACATAAGGCGGGGCACAGAGAGAAGTTTGCTGAACAATTTAAAATTTATGATGTGTGAGCCCAGTAAAAATCTAATTTACTGTCGCATAATTAAAGACGCAAGGGGGCTTTCTTTTGCCTGTGTATGTGTGCGTGTGTGTGTGTGTATGTGTGTTTGCTGTGTGTATTTATTCAAATTATATATTCGACTGTTGACACACCCAAAAGGCAAAAGTTTTCTGTCGACTGGGCGGGAACAGACGAGACAAACACGAGGCGTCACGTCATATCACACGCTCTCTCCCGCTCCCACTCCCGCTACCCCCTCACTCTCTCATTAAATCATTAAATGCCGCCATGTAAGCATAAATTTAATTGTTATTAACAATCAGCACTTATTTTGACTCCACCACACAGGATGCGGGAGGGGTATGTGTGTGTGTGTGTGTGTGTGGGCTGGACTTTCCCCGCGCGTTTTTCTTTTTCGCCTGGCCCTTTGTTCAACTTTCTCTCTCTCTCCATTCATTTTCATTTACAAGTTTTACGTTTCGGTGTTCTGTTTGCTTTATGAATTTAAATTGTCATTAATTAACTTTTGTGCACATCGAATGGGGGGTTGGGATGGTGGGGTGCTGGCGAGGGTGAAATTATTACACATACGTCATGGTGGTCAGAGCCGCTGACCATTCATTATGGGCCCAAGCATCGTCCTGCGAACTCAATTACAGTTTGCAAACTTTTCAATTAGCTATAAATAGTTTATTTATGTATATATATTTTTTCCTGCAACTCATGCTGTGTGCGTGTGCATGTGTGTGTGTTTAATTGAAAAGTGCTGCCTCGAACGCTTTTCACGCTTTCACTCTTTCTCCCTCTGTCCGTGCGTGTGCGTGTGTGTTGGGCTCATTAATACTGTTGAGCTTTGGCCTCCATGTCCTGGCCGCTCATTTCGACGTGCAGCAGAGCGAATGATTGCTATTCATATTCCGATCATACGATATCCAGGGGGAGTACATTGACAGCAAGCATCATTATCGCATGCAAATTTTTTATCGCGTTGCACTTTTGTTTTTGTTTTTGTTCTTGGCCATCCCATCCAGCAGTTAATGTTGATGCCTTTGCTTGTTGATTTAGCATCATATGATAATTACTTTGATGTAAATTCATTGCCAAAGAAGCCCTTGCCCTTGTCCTCCTTTGACAGCTGTTACTCTCTCTCTCTCACTCTTTCTTTCTTCTCTTTCCTGCTGGCAGTTTCAGCAATTTTTAACTGCTGGTTATTTCCATTGTTTGCTGCACAAATATTTGCTGGCAAACAATATTTCAATAGTTCGTTTTTTCCTGCTCCTCTTTTTTGTTTTTTTCTTTGGGTTATTTAACTCGATGTTAATTAAAAAGCAGCAATGGCCATAACTGGCGTAACAAATCCACCCGCAGGGCAATGCCAAAACAGAACCAGAACCAGAACCCCGAACCACCAAACCAAAAACACAACCAGAAACAGAATGATTCAAATTGCAATTTTTGTTTTTTTTTTTTTTGGTTGCTTTTTTTTGTGTTAGACTGCAGCTTGTACGGTTGGCAGGCAGTAGCTGTGCTCCGAGGGCTTGTTGGCTGTGTTTCCGGCCGTCGTCAACTCGTCGCCATCTTCCTTTTCAATTATGCCCCTGCCCCCGCGCCGATGTCGCTGTTCTCAGTCTGCCTTTGTGGCAGTGCCCGAAGGCATCTACTGCTGCGCTTTCTGTTCCAGCACCGGGTTCACTGCAGTTTGTTCGCCGTTCGCAGCAGTTCGCAGCAGTTCGCTGTTCGAGTTCTGTTCGAGTTCAGTTCGGTTGTCGATTTGTGCTCATTGCACAGACATTTCTCGTTTTCACACCATCAAGCAGCGTTTGTTGCGATTTGAAACAAATCTACCAATGCCGCAGCAGCAGCAGCAGTAAAAAATCTTAACAAAAAAATAAAAGGAAAAACTGCCAGAGAGTAAGAGAAAGAGAGAGAGGGAGAGGGGTAGCTAGTACTACCCAAAAACCAAATTTAGTTGTTGATGGGCGAACGTCAAAAAATCCACAAATTCTGGCAGTTTTTTTTTTAGTTTTTTTAGTCCTGGATTTTCTGTCGCTTCTGTCGGTCTGTTCCGTTGCCGGCGACAACGTCATCATGCATGATAGATACTTTTACATATTTTCGCTGTCGATGGTTTTTCCGGCAACTGCCCAACGGCACTTGATTTGTTGTTTGTCTTCTGCAGAACATTTCCTGCCTGTCTGCCTGCCCCTGCAGCAGTCTGACTCTGCCCTGTGTACAGGTTTTATTTAGTTTCGATTTTCGCCACTCTTTTTTTGTACGTGAACGGGTACGGCTCTGTTATTTATGGTGAGGCTTTCATCGTTTTTGCCCATTGATTTTTAATAAATTTTTGAGCTGCCGAAAGGACTCAAACGAGACCGCACAGCTCTGTCTATGGAGCGTGGTGTGTGGGGGGGTGAGGGCTGGGGGCCAGTTGCATAATTTCGTTTCAACTTCATTTCCGTTTCGAACTAATCAAAAAGTGTAATTTCCGATTAGTTGTATTCAGAGGGCCCAGAGAGTTCTACTAGTGACCCGACCTGACCAGACCCGTGCTGAGGGGGGCACACAGAGTCCCCAGTGCAGCAGCAGTTCCCGTCGGGTCGAGCCTCTCAAAGTTGGCTCGACTTTTCCCTTAAACTGCCACGAACAAAAAAAAAAAGGGGGGCCAGTGGGCGGTGGGCAGTCCTTTTCATTGGCTAACAGGTTTCTGTGGGCCAACTGTTTTTCTTTCATTGTATAATAAATCGGAACATTGACCTGGCCTCTGCCACTGCCATTGCGTCTGCCTCTGCCCCTGCGTCTGTGATTGAAAGTGGAAGGGAATTGGCCGGATAATGACCCTTTTACATTATGAGTTATGGTGGGCTGCTGGGGCAATAGATCGCCCACTGAAGGAGACCCTCAATTTATATCAATCTTTGGCATTCCCAGCATACTTATGCGGGCAAACGAATCTCATTCAAGCACTCCGCTTGTCGTGCCATTAAATTGGGGAATTAAAACGGCAGTTGAACCGGGCCACCTTTTTCTGCTGCCTGGACTATCTCCGGCCATGTGTTTGGCTTGTTTAGCAAATATCCCAGAGAGAGAGCGAGGGAAAAGAGAGGTGACTGCATTTCATTTGCATATGAACACCGAAAAACGAGTCTCTTGTGTGGGTGTGTGTGTGTGTGCTGCAGGTGCAGGTGCAGAGTCGCAGGTGCCACACCACACAACACAACACAAACACACACACAAAATAAAAAGCGAATAAAGCGAATGAAACCAACACATTAACAGGTGTTGACTAAGCGCCGCACGAAACGAGACTCCGCCAGACAGATTCCAGTCCGGTTCCGGTTCCTGTTACCCTTTGCCCCGTTACCCGTTCCCCCCAGCCCATTGCAACGAAGGGGGTTGCTCGGGGAGGTTTGTAGGTGGCTTATAAAGAGTGGTAAAATTTGTTTGCTTTTGTTTATAAAAATTTAAGGCACTTTTGGACAGGTGCTGCCGGGGAATGGATGCAGGCAGGCAGGCAGGCAAATCCCCGAAATGTTGCAGGGCCAAAGGTAGTTGCAGCAGCAGCCTAAAATCCCATTTGTGCCCCCCAGTTGGGGTGGGGGATGGGCCTTGGTGGCGTTTTATTTATGCAAAAATAACAAACAAGCAGCAAAAGAAGAGAAGCAACAGCAACCAGAGAGAGAGAGACAGCGGACAGAATGGCCCAAATGGCGGGCGAGTGGCTAAAAGCCTCAAACGTTGTCTCTGTGCTGATGCTGCTGTTGCTGCTGCTGCTGCTGCTGCTGCTGCCGGACATTGTCGCCGTGTTGCCTGCTGGATTATTCACAGCCGTTGAAAGTGTGCAATGAATGAATTTATGGGTTCGTTCTGCCACTCCTCCATTACCCGTCCCCACGCTCCGTGCAAGGGATTTAACTGTGCAAAATGTATACAAATGTGGCAACGTTTGGCCATGTTATCAACATTTTTATTTTCGTCTGCTGTCTCTTTGTTGCCACTGCGATTTGGTTGCAACAAACAAAAGCAGGAAATAAAACCCCCAAACAACAACAAAAAAATAAACAAATTAAGGGAAGCGCGGAAGCGGAAGTGCAGACAGCTATGGCCATTAAGTGGAAGGAGATGAAGAGTGGGGAAGAGCGTCGTGTCTCGTTTTCGGCAGCGGATTGTCAACTGTTTAATATTGCAATTGGTTAAACAATTTTCCCTTACTCACTGTTCTCTGTTTCCGTTTCTGTTGCAGCCAAGGCCTCGAAAGTCATCCACTTGCGGAACATTCCAAACGAGTCCGGTGAATCGGATGTGATTGCCCTGGGCGTGCCATTTGGTCGTGTGACAAACGTTCTCGTGCTGAAGGGCAAGAACCAAGCGTTCATCGAAATGGCCGACGAGATGGCCGCCACATCGATGGTGTCCTGCTACACAGTGAATCCGCCACAAATGCGTGGGCGCATGGTCTACGTACAGTTCTCCAATCATCGCGAACTCAAAACGGATCAGAGTCATAATGTGAGTATAAAATATTTAAATTTAAATTTAAATATATATTTTGTATTAGTTTTTCGGTCTTAAGTGTTATTAATGTGGCAATTAAGTTTTGGGTCTGAAGAATCTGCGATTTATATGCAAATTTTTGAACGGAATGGGACGGGGACGGGGACGGGACGGGTCTGTGATATTTGGAGACCGCACACGGTCGACCGAAACTCTCTGATTAATTACACTTTCTGGGCAACTTAATTCCCATTCAGAGGAGAGAGAGTGGCGAGAGTGAAAAACAAAGAGAGGATTCCCATCATAAATGGCACAGATACACAGCAGTATCATTGCTGTGTCCCATTTTGTGTTTGTGTTTTAGTTCGTGTTTGTTTGCGTTTGTGTGGGGTGCGGAGAAGGCTTCTAAACCAATTTCTAATTTTAATTTCTTAAGCCACAAAGTCACTGACTGAAGTTTAAAAAGCTTTCAAATAAATACACATGGCCGCACACACACACACACACACAGATACGTGTTTACTGCCTGACAAAAGCAGTAAAATGCATAGTTTTTGGGGTTTTGTGGGTAACCCCTACACACACACAGATACAGGATACAAGCTACAGAATGGCAACCACACGCATACCAAAAAGAGCCAAACGAATGCAGAGACCAGGACTCATACGGACAGATGGACGACTGGACAGACGGACATATGTGGGATGCCAGCTGCTTAGTGCTCAAAGTCAAAAGCATATTTTGATTACTTAAATGAAAGTGGGGTGGTGATGGGGATGGCGAAACCCCAAAGCGGCGTTGTCACCCTTTGGGATGGGTTGAGGTGTACACCAGGTGGTGCTGTTGCTGCTGCTGCTCCTCCTCCTCCCTTTGGTGGTGAGCCCCAAAGCAAACTACTTAAAAAGAGATCGTCAGGCGACAGCAGCCGAAAAAAAAAAAAAAAGGTTAAGAGGCTGCAGCAGCCTCAAGAGTGGCAGAGCCCTGGTAGAGCCTTAGGAGTAGGTGACACAGCAACAGCAGGAGCAGCAGCAACAGCAACAATGGGGCAGCCACAAACAACAGCTAGACCAACACAATACAGTTACATTTCACTGATTACCTTTTGGCTGTGGCTGTGGCACCCTCGCTCCCCCTCTGTGTGAGTGTGTGTGTGTGTGTGCGTGGGCAGATTTCTCTTGTTAACTACTAATCCTAGTAAAAGGCCTTGTTACCCCGCAACCCCAAGAACCAGCAGCCAGCAGCACAGACAACGCCAGACAAGTCAGACGAGTGGCAAAAGTCAACGCCGCTTTCCATAGTTGTTGCTGTTGTTGTTGTTGTTGCTGCTGCTGCCGGCTCTTGTGGAAAATCTCTTAAAATGCATGAGAGTGTAAGGAGAGTGCTAGGACGCTAGAACACACAGAGGTTTAATCTTGTGTGGAAAGCCTGTCGCCGTTGCCGTCGCTGTCCCCGTCGCTGTCGCTGTCTGCCAACATATTTATACAATTTCTCATTTCATTCAGTTTTCCTCCCACTCCATTCCGCTCCCCCTCCCATTGTGGACATGTCCTGAGTCCTGTGTCTTCTGTATGCTATGTGTTTTTTTTTTCCTTTCCTTTATTTTCCTCTCCCCGTGATGGTGTTACAGAGATTCTTCCTTCTGCTGCTTTGGCCCCTCGCATCTTAACAACTGTCTTCATTGGCTTTTGTGCTGCCACCGCCTTGTTATTGTTGCTGTGTGCCACCACCACCTGGTGGCAGCATTCGCCTGATTGTTTGGCGACTCTTGACTGTTCCTTTATATTGCCATTGCTTGCGTCATATTTCGCTGCTTGTGTCATTCGTTTGCTGTTGTGTCTCTCCGTCTCTCTGTCTGTCTGTCTGCCCGCCTGCCTGTTGCCGGTTGCAGTGTGCAGGTCTTCAGATAAGATGCTTACCAAAAAATGAGGAAAAACCTGCGAAAACAGGGAAAATCATAGGAGAAGAGGCAGCAAGAGTTGCGACCGAACACAGACATTAACCTTGGGGGCAGGCAACACTTTTTGTTTAATTCCCTCGTTAGTTGTAGATTCCCCCCAACCAAACAAAATTCAGCCAATTCTCTGATATTGCCCATGGCCACCAGGATTTTCTGCATTAAATTTATATAGAGAATAGCAGCAGCAGCAGCAGAAATGTTGTACATCACAGAGCAAGACAGAGACAGAGAGACAAATCCATTGCATGGCCTTAAGGGATTTTAACCCGAGCACAAGAGCACACAGGGGGAAACGACGAAACACGCACCTGAAGGAAAAGCTGCGACGACAGCAGCAACAGCAGCAGCAACAGCAAATCAGCAATACAGGATTTCCAAATCATCTCCTTCCTTGCCACATGCACACACACACACACACAAACATATAAAAATAAACATAGATACAGCTACATATAAAGAGGGGGTTAGCACACACACATGTGAGATTTCAACGGCTGAGTGATTGCACGGCATAGAAAATAAAACAAATGGGGAATGGAATGGAAAACCAAGAAGCAACAGGAATGAAAAATCCTGTAGCATACTTTGGAGCGCCTTCGCCCTCACCCTCGCCTCCTTGCCTACACACACACACACACACACAGCACACACACTCTGACATTTATGTTGGCAATTTGGCAGTCAACCGGCAATGCTGCTGCTGCTGCTGCCTGCCACTTCTGCTGCTGCTACTGTTGCTGCTGCGTAACAGGATTCTAATATGTCATGTCGTTGGGATGTCCTTTCACCTTTTGCCACGACAGCCAGTGGCAGTGGCAGTAGCAATGCTCCCTGCTACATCTATCTCAGGGTCTTGCCTGTGACTATTTTCCTTGATGTCTCTCTTTCTCGCTATCTCTCTCTCTGTAGCGTCTTAGCCCGCCCTCGCTGCTGCGGTGAACCTTGACTAAGATTCGCAGAAGCATGGCAATGTGGCAGCTAGTCTGGGCCCCCGAAATGAAGATAAATGCACTGGGAAGTTCACGCGGTTACGACCACAACGAGCTGCCCGCAAAAACCCGCAAGAGCTACTCCAACGCCCAATCCCCCCCACCGCCCACAAAACTCCAATCCCGACCCCAAAGGTCCGCCCCAGCGTTTCCCACTGTGTATTGTTTAGTGGGTCTCAAATTTGACATGTGATTGTTTTGTCCCTGTCTTCCTGGGTATGTGCCACATCTGTTGCCGCTTTTTCCACTGTCTAGGCGAGAGAGAGAGGTGGGGGGCGAAAGGGGGACTTGGGTAATTTTGATAAATTAATTTTTGAGCTTCTGGCCCTTTCTTTTGAGCGAAAAAAGGGTTGACAGGCACTTGGGAAATGGGTAAAGCAGAGCAGAAACATACAAACAAAAAAAACAAAAATTAGATTGATATATAATTTGGGGAAAACAAGGACAGGGGCCTGCTGAGTCTCCTGTGCAACATTTGGCATGCGCCCAAAAGGATTCATTAGATTTACACGCAATTGATTAATCGTCCGTCGGTTGTCTCTGGCCAGCTCCTCTGAATGCGTAACACAGAGCGGCTCAGAGTGCGGGCAACGCGTTCAAGTGCGAACAGTAAATGCAGGTAATCATCCTAATTGGCACTTGCTACAGTCCGGCCCCGGGCCTCCTACCAAACACAGTCCGGCGGGAGCCATCAGCAGCCTCCAAGTGCAGCAGCAGCAGCCGCAGCCACAGCCGCTTCAAACGCAGAATCTAGCAGAGAAGTGCATTTCCCCAAAGGTGTGGCCTGTGCCGGCGTGTCCTGTCCTGTTTGTATGTGCGGCTGCAGCTGCTCGTTTTCCCTTTGCTGATAGATAGGGTTACCTTGTAATTAAATTAAATTGCCAGCTACAGAGCTAGAGAGCATGGAGTCAGTGCTGCATTTTACTGAAATTCTAGTGTCCTGCCACACACAAAAACAGCAGCAAAAAACAAATCACAAATGAAAATTGCAAACAAAAAAGACAATGGGAATAAAGTGACGAACAGATGGGACAGCAATTGTCAATTAATGGATAACATAGACGTAGAAGTACACGTAAAATTAGTATGAAACACGAAGTGGGATTAATATTCAACACATTTGACAGGGGCAGGGGAGGAGAGGGGATGGATGGGTCGCAGCCCAACTAATACAAATGTCAACCGATTAAGCCACAAAGGGGATCAAACTGATTAGCAAAGGCTTATCACACAGCCACAGAGACTGCTGCCAAATGAATGCTGTCTGCTGTCTATGGCGAAGTAGGGGAAGCAGATGGGATATATATATATATATATATATGTATATATATATTATATATTGTAGTAGTTGCAGGCGCCATTTGATTTTGGTGTTAATAATATGAGCCCCGCCCTGCCTTGCCCCACTCCAGCTCAGGGCTCAGCGTAGACAGAGACCTCAATGTTTTATTTAATTTGCTGCCTGCCTGTCGCCCTGACAGCCCGTTGTCGATGCTGAAAGTAAAAGCTGAAGCTAAGGCTGATTCCGGCTTATAAGGCCTTTTCCTTTTGGCACGCTATTTGTCTAACTCTCAGGCGTGTGCAGTTAAAGGATTTCGACGGGGCAAATAACTTCACATATGCCACGGCGCGACTCTTCCTCTCCTTCCCACTGTACTATATCTGTGTGCTCCTCGTTGTTTATTTTTCTATGCGTGGGCCTGGTGTGTTTTTCTTTGCTGTTTTCCCATTTTATTTTCACGTTTACTTTTGCGCCTCCTTCCTGCCATCGCCAAAAGGAGAAGGAGCAGTAAGCTAATCTTATTGTTTTCCCCAACAACAGAAGGAGCGCAACAGCAACAGCATCAGCAGCAGAGCAACCCGCGTAGGGGCTGCCTGCCTGCTTGCCTGCCCTGATCCTTTGAGTTATACGGCTGTAGGATGGCGTTGGCAAGAACTGTTTGCTTAGAGCTCGTAGCTGGCTAAAGCTTTTTGCCATTTTGATTGGTGACGTGTTGAAAATGGATTTAAATTACATTGTTTCACACACTCGCGTGTCGTAGTCGTACCGTGGAGTGCCGTTGAGTACGTGAGCGGAGAGCAACAGGAGGATGACAACTGTGTGTGCGGTGAAATGGTTCCTCCGCTGACAGACAACTGACATCTCTCTCTCTCTTTGTCTGTCTGTGTGTCTCTGTCTCTGCAGTGACTTTTCCTACAGCTACAATGTCAATGTTTTCATTGTATTGATTAGTTTTCTATTACGGCTTGCCCCGAAAATGCATGTTTTCCTTTTGCCTTTTGCACAAAGTTTACCCCCTTTTCCTTTTTTTTTGCTTATCCTCTTTTTGTTTTTCTATGACCGTGTAGTATTATTTACTTTGTTTTTAGGCAACGCCAGCGGATTTTACTGCTCTGCGTATTTATTTATGGTCCTGGCTTTGGCTTTGGCTTTCGCTCTGACTCTGACTCTCTCCCTTCAGCCAAAAGGCTTTTAACACATTTTACGTGGTTTTCTATTTTCGTTTGCCTTTTGCATAAATAAGATAAATATTGTTTTGTTTTCACTGTAACCGCTTCATGCACTTTGCACAAGTTTCATTGAAGCTTCTTCTGGCTTTGGGATCCACCTCCATCCTGCTCCTCCTCCTCATCCTTCTCCGCTTTTGACCATAAAAACCACGCAGCATCAGCAGCAGAAAGGCTGAACGGGGCAGAGACTTGTGGGGCAGCAGATAAACGACTCTCTCTCTCTCTTTCTGTCGTTGGTGGGCAACCACAGCAAAGTAATACATAATCCAGAGCTCAGCTTTAAAACTTAACTACAGAACTGAGCCCCAAACAGAACCACCTCATAACTTGTACGTGGAGTTGTTGCCAAAAAAAAGTTTACACTTTTGCAGCTTTACGCTCGTGGTTCAGCTACTCCATCATCTAGGAAAAGGCCAGCCAGAGCAGCTCCTTGGCGAACTTGCCACGCATGCAGTGGTTTGCAGTGCACAGTGGCAGCAGGAAGCTGTGGCCAAGCAGCTGTAGCTGCTTTACTTCTTAACTTGGCCCACAGCACTTAAGCCCGGCCAAGTGCGCTTGCTCGACTGAGGAGAGGCGAGGGCGACGACACTTGTGCCCGTGTGCCTTGTGCCTTGTGCCCTCGCACCCGAAAAAAAGGGCTTGCCATGCAGTTTAAAGTGTGCCTCAGCCCTCAGCCGTCGCCTTCTTCTTTGAGGAGAGGCCAAGATGGTAAGGCGGCACTCAGTGTGACATTGCAATGAAAATAAACTTTCCGAAAAGTAAAAAAAAAAGTAAAATGGGGAAAATGGCAGGAAGAGCAGCCTCACGGGAAGGAGCTGCGCGAAACAAAAATATTTATGCAAAACTTCAAGTGAAAGGCAACGTCAATATTCCTTGGCGCCCGTTCCCCCGCTAGCTCCCATACTCTGGCTTTATTTCTTATGCAAAATAAAAGAAAGACAAGACGACAAAGTGTCACATCAGAATCATAGAACAATTGCTGGCACCAGGATGCTTCTTTCACTCTAGTGAAAAGTTTTGCATTGAATATTTCTTCGAGTAGTTGCAAAGAGAGCAAATCTCAGCAGTGATTTCTATATTTTTGTTTGGTGCTGCCAATAGCTTCCACTTAGCGGATATTTTCTCTGTAGTTTTGGGTGCCGACATATGTCGCCTTTGTGTTGATTTTCCCAGCGAAAACATTTCGATTGGATCGATAAATATGCTTATCAGCTTTGCCGTCACTAGTTGCCCTGATACTTTTAGCTTATCAAAGCATTTTGGTTTATCAAATGCCGCATTATCGCACGGAAGGATGGCGCGGCTTCTCGGTCATATTAAATTATAACAATGTGGTGGTGTGTCTATGTGTGTGCATGGGGTTACTTGTGCACGAGTATTAGTTGGTGTTTGTATACATATCTAATCAATGCCACATTCCACACACCAACACACACCAGCACACACACACACACACTACGAATACCGACAATGCGAAGCGGAAACACACAATTGACTCATTAACAGGCAAAACCGCGACAAGCAAAGGCCGATACAAACACACAGATACATAATCATACTCCACACACACACACACACACACACTGATACTAGCATAATCATATTCCACACAATGACCTACACCCACACCTACACAGACACAGAAACAGGCAACGATTTGCTTTGTTTAATGATGTTGCTGGTTGTGGTCATATCGCCAGAGCCCCAGCTCCAGCCTTGTCGCTGTCCCCTGTTTTGGACTCCAGCCCCAAAGCTGTCAGATAATTAGAATGCCTTGGGCCAATACTTCGTACACGCAGGGAAAAATGACCACTCAAATAACATTATTAAACATTAATCGACCGCATGAAAATATTCAATTTAAATATGTCACATTTAAAATAAATATGTTTCACATTTAAAATAAATATATTTCATATTATAATTTTTTTATCATCTATTTAAAATAAATATATTTCATATTTAAAATAAATATATTTAATATTTAAAATAAATATATTTCATATTTAAAATAAATATGTTTCATATTTTGGTTAAATAAATTTCATTTATTGAACAAATATATATACCCACAAATTTAAGATATTACTCGTATGTTCATTTAAAAGTGTTTCATATTTAGATTAAATATATATGTATATAAATTTAATATTTTGTGTTTAAATTTAATATATTTAATTACATTTTCTATACTTAAAATTCAAATATCTAATTTAAATCTGGCTGCGCTTCATTTTACTCTGCCATTTTGTCTCTAAGTGTATCGAGTAGGCATGCAAGTTGGCTCCCCCCCCGAATATTTCAGGGTGTTGGGCGTCTGGCTTGGACGACGGTTATTATAGAGCCATAAATAGCTACAAACTGTTGGGAAGTTTGACCGTTCCCCCTCCCACTCGATTCTCCCGATCCGTTGGTGGGGGTGGTGTGGTGTGGTGTGGTGTTGTGCGTCGTCAGTGGAAGGTTATGCACAATTATCAAAGTACTTAAACGCCTGGCAATTGCCCACTTGACAGCTAGTTAATGTTAACCAAGTTTAAACAGGGCCAAAAGGAGAGCACACTCACACATACACACACACAGCCAAGTAGAAGATGGAAAGCTAACCAGTGGGGAAGAGGAGACGCAGAGAGAGGGAGAGCAGGAAAGAGAGATGGGCAAAACGCTTCTCAACAATTACATTACAATTTTTACACAATCAACGTCATCGTCATCATAATAATCAGGCAAAGTGAAGTATCAAATTACAGCAGCAGACCCCAAACCCCCAGGACTGGCTGGCTGGCTGACTGGCTGGTCTCCCACAGGCATCTCGAGTAGGAAAGGCAATCGAAGATGAAGAAGCCGCATCATCGTTGCCTCATAGCTGTGGCGGGGGCTGGGGACAGGGGGACTATACATTCCACATACGGCGATACGGCGTGTCTAGCCACGCACATAGCACTCAGCACAGCACAGAGAGAGAGAGAGAGAGAGGAGCGAAGGAACATGCCACACAGCACACAGCAACGCACAGCAGCACTCTGGCAATTCTAATCAATTTTTATTATTTTTACAAACTTTGGCAGGCCCACACACAGCCAGGAGCCAGCTAGAGCTCACGTCGTCCTTGTCTTTGTTTCGGTTGGCAGAGGAATTTATCTAGGAGGAAAACAGCAGCAGCAGCAGCAACAGCAGCAGCAGCAGCAGAAACAAATAGCACGCCTGGGGAGGATTGACGATGGCAATGGCAATGGCAATGGCGACTAGCGAGGCTTTCCTTTGCTTTCCGCTTTCCTGCTTTTTCTCCTGTTGCTGCTGACAAACGCACAAAAAAAAAAGAAATATAAAGAAAATGACTGGATTTGTGTGTGGGAGGGGTAGGGCTAGGGAGAGGGCAGGTGGGCGGTTGAATGTGTTTACGTTATGATTTTCGAAATCAAAATTCAGCACGAATAGGAATAAATTTACTTCCGAATGTCATTAAATTGTTTTCCGATAGAACGTGTATATTTCCACGCAAGAAACTTTTTTTTTCTTCTATATTTTTTTTTGTGTGTTCTCACTAAGAGCCTTCATCGTCTGGCATCGTCTCCACCTCCACCCATTTCCCTTTCCTCATTCTCGTCAGTGGCAGACTCCCATCGCCCCCCTTAGAGTTTCCTTTTATTATTACGATACTTGATATTATTGATTTTGATTGAGATTTATGTGGGTGCGGCAGGAGCTGCTCCAGCTCCATGGCATCTCCTTCCCGTGTGTTTCGCTGACTTCCTTCCAAGCATCGTTTAGCATATTTCTTCCTGGCTGTGTCCTGTCTGTGTCCTGGCTGTCCCTTCTGCAATAAGTACAAGTACGAAGCCTTCAAAAAAAAAGGAAACTTGTCGGTTGCTGCATAAATTTTGTGCATTGCCGCCAGTTCTCAGTTCTCTCCACTCGCCGTCCTTTGATTAATGCGCAAAAGTTTTTGGCGCCTTTAACTAATAAAAGTTTCCGGTAGTAAATTGACTCGAACATCTTTATCAACTTTCTTTCCTTTTTTCTGTGTTTCAGAACTCGGTGGGGCAGAGCGACTACCGCATTCAGTCGCCGGCCGGCGGCTCGCCGTTGCCCCTGTGCGCGGCCAATGCCACCAGCAACAATGCCAACAACTCCGGCGACAGCAACAGCAGTGCCGTGGGCATTTTGCAGAACAACACCAGTGCGGTGAATGCCGGCAATAATACCAATGCCGCCGGCGGACCCAACACGGTGCTCCGTGTGATTGTCGAGTCGCTGATGTACCCGGTATCGCTGGACATATTGCATCAGATATTCCAGCGGTACGGCAAGGTGCTGAAGATTGTCACCTTCACCAAAAACAATTCATTCCAGGTGAGTGCCCCAGACCCAGACCCCCCCCCCAGGGATTTGTCAGATAACTTAAGGGATTCCCTTTCTCCCATCACTTTACTCCCTTTAGGCCCTCATCCAATATCCGGATGCCAATTCCGCCCAGCATGCCAAGTCCCTGCTGGACGGGCAGAACATCTACAACGGGTGCTGCACACTGCGCATTGACAACAGCAAGCTGACGGCCCTGAATGTGAAGTACAACAATGACAAGTCGCGCGACTTTACGAATCCGGCGCTGCCACCGGGCGAGCCGGGCGTCGATCTGATGCCCACCGCTGGCGGACTGATGAACACCAACGATCTGCTATTGATTGCCGCCCGCCAGCGGCCCTCCCTAACAGGTGATAAAATAGGTAACACGAACGGAACATTTTCCCGATTTTCTATCATTTATGTTTTTCTAAGCTTCACAAACACAAAAAACCACATACATCTACAAATACACACACACACCAAGTTATCTATGCTTTGTTTCAGTCTTTTTTCTGGCTTTACACTTGCTATCGATTCATCTAGGACTGTAGAGCTTAAGCGGCATGCAACATACATACATACCTAATCCGGATAAAGAACTCACATGGCGCATCCTACTAATACTCTGTCGATCTTAAATCTCTCATTCTGTTTTAGTCAATGGATTGGGTGCTCCTGGTGTACTGCCACCGTTCGCTTTGGGCCTGGGCACACAGCTCACCGGCGGCTACAGCAACGCCCTGCCCAATCTGGCCGCCTTCTCGCTGGCCAACAGCGGGGCCCTGCAGACCACACCACCGGCCATGCGCGGCTACTCGAATGTATTGCTCGTCTCGAATTTAAATGAGGAGGTAAGTCCAATTAGTCTGCGTTTTATTTTTTAAGTTAGATCTAACATAAGTAGTCCCAATGGCAGGGTTTCTCGGGTTCTCCACCACACCCCAAACCCACCCCACCCCACCTACTCTCTTACGATATATATTTATAGTAAAAAAGTCTTTCAATTAGTTTGCCTTTCATGTTTGCGTAGAGCAATTTTGTACGAATTTGTTTGCATACTTTTTTTGTTGTTCTTTTTTGCGTTTTTTAATATTAAAATCCTTTGAAATTTTTGTTCACAACTTTTCTCGGTTAAGCAAATACCAAAAGTGCGCGGCAGAGTGCGTTTATTTGATTTATCGCATTTCAAACAATTTTATTATTAACCACAAATATTAAAAAATATATACAAAAAATTTATATACAATTAATATTGTATGCAGTCCTGCTGTGGGCCGGAGAGACTTTTTTCGCCTACTTTTTTAACGCTCTCTCTGTCTCTGTCTGTCTGTCTGTCTGTCTGTCTGTCTGTCTGGTCTCTCTCTCTCTCTCTCTCTGGCCCAAGGCCAGATCTTCATTCATTCTGTAAATCTGTAATTGTCATTGATTTGTTTCTCTCCTGTTTATCGTTTATTTTTTACCTTTGTTTTTTGTTTATTATTTTATTTGTAAAACACCTAAAACGAATCTCTCGCTAACTGACAACAAAACTCTATTTTCTCTTTTTTCTCTGTAGATGGTCACGCCTGATGCTCTCTTTACCCTCTTTGGTACGTCTGCACAAAACAAAACAAAAACAAAAAACAGAAAAAACAAAAAAAAGCCAAGGGTTTATTATTATTAATTTTTATTGTTTCCGTTTGTCTTGTGGGCAAAGCGATGGCGCAGGGGGGCAGCAGAGTGCGGTGGTGAGAGATGGATAGAACTCGTAGAACTTGTTCCAAAGTATCTCTTAGCTCTCTCTCTCTCTCTATATATATATTTCTCTGTAACTTTTCTGAGTCTATCTCTAACCGTACATATGCTTGCCCCAGCATCTAGCCTTGCCCCGGCCAACACACAACGTGTCCCACATACATATATTTACACTCCTTGAACAATTTATAAGTAGTTTACTTGATTATTCATTGAATTTACACTGTACGTACCGAGTCGAGTGAAATGTCTGCCCAAAGGCCAAAAAAACAACAAAAATCCACAGTAGCTGCTGCTGCTTGCTGCTGCTGCTCTCTCTTCCCATTCTCTCTCCCTGCTGTCTCTCCCTCACTCTGTTTCCGCTTCCGTTTGGCATTTACGCCATTTACGTGCAATCAGCAAAAGTGCCATGAATTATTTATATGTGTGGGAGCACATGGGAGGAGTAGCAGAAATGCTGGGCAGGGGTAACAAAGCAATAGCTGACAAAAAAAAAAGCGGCACAAAATGTTTAAAATATTGAAAAAGCCTTAAAAAAAAGAAACGTAGCTGTACATGCAACGGTGGCACATAAAATGCATCCGCCATGTGGGAAATATTCTCGTAAAACGAAGTCATTCCCTGAACTCCTACTCCAACGCTTATCTGAGCACAGAACTAGAAGTAGAGCTCAACGGACGAGCGATCGAAGCAATTTAGGAAGGGTAAAACCGAAAGCCAATAATCTGCCCCCAAGAGTTGGATGCGGGGGGGATTGTGCACCTCGATCAGGTCATAAAACCCATTTAAGTGGCGGTGTTCGGGGGTGGGGGGCAAAACATAAAAAGTGTATGCACTGGCACACTTGTGCCAGTATTTATTGTATTGCCAAATGGAAAGAGACTCGGCTAAAGCCAGCAACAAATGGCTTTCTAATAGCTTTTTGCCAGCTGCATTGCTATTCATGCAGACTCGGACCAGAGCCAGACCAGAGTCGGTCCCAATCGGTGCCCAGCAAGCAAATCCATCAGGCAGCTTGAAATTGAAATAGTTGTGGGTCCAGTGGTAGTCGTGTCCCGTGCTCCTGCTCTGCTGCCATTTATCCAGTCATAAGTTCTGCTTACAAATTGTAAAACAATGAAAATGAAAATGAAAATACACTCCAACGTCATATACATATATTAAAAGCGGAACATGGAAGGGCATCCGTTGCTGGCAAAAAGGCAACAAGTGAAACCGCACTTGGGCTAGGAGCACCCCAGCACCCAGCACCTACTCTTGGTGCCTCTTGGTGTTCCTTCTGCACCACTTGTGCATCCGCTTGTTGCTTCAGCGTTGTCTACGACACACGTTCCCCCTGCGAATGCGAGTGTGTTTGGGTGTGTGTCTGTGTAAAATTACATGAATTAAGTGTGTGCTCTCGGTCGTGGCTTGGGTTCGTTCTACGCTCCACGTTCGCCTCATTGTTGGAGCTGTGGCCCAGGGGCATCCGGGGGGCCAGAGTGTGTGTGGGTGTGTGTGTGGCTAAAATGCATGCACAAAACACATGCTTTAACATGTGCTCATCCTGCCACACACACACACACACACACTCGCACACACAGATATACTCTCTGGCAGCACAAAAGATTGAGTGCGGAAGTGCATAGCTATAAAAATGTCCATTTATTTAGTTATCATTGCGCTTGTTGCTGTCGCCATTGTAGCTCTGCCCCTGTCTCTCTGTGTGTGTTCTGTCCTGCTCTCCTGCTCCATTCTCCCTTCTACATACATAGATCCTCCTTTTATTCCACACACACACAATCGTAGAGTATTGTAGTTTTTTCTGGCTTTTACAATTGAAATAAAATTTACTTGTGACTTTTCGTAGTCGGTTTGGCTTGGCTCGGCTTGGGTTTGCTTCCTTGGATAGAAACGAGTGGGGGGTGGATACCCCCGTGTTCTGGTCTGGTGGGTTCTGGTTCTGTCTCTTTGCTGGTTTTTGTGTCGTCTGTTGTCTGTCGTCTGTTTGCCAAATGAATTTAACTAACTTTGTAAAGTTAATGGGGTTTGCTGTTTGAATTGCTGAACTTTTCCCCCAGCCCTACTCTCTCCCTCTCCTTCCTTTTGTGTGTGTGTGTGTGTGGTGGGTTTTATTATTTTATAGGATTTGCACACAGCCAGCACACATCTTGGCCAGCCATTGCTCAGCATTCGTCCATTATGTACTTGATTTAATTACCAAAATACATCGATTGTGCAAGTTTTTGTTTGAATATTCTCGGGGTGTGTGTGTGTGTGGCGCATAATTGCAGCATAATGGATTTTGTTGCCGCAACAGCATGGCATGGTTGCATGCCACAGTTCTCTGGTTTATTTTTCGAGTGTGTGCAGCACAATGCCCCAACTGTGTGAGGAGAGACGAGAAGGACACTCGCATACTCGCAGCAACAATGTTAAGTCTCTCACTGACTCCCCTTTGTCTCTGGTGACACAAAACGGTTTGTTTGTGGCAACACACACACATGTAAGATAGATGGTTGTGTGTGTGGGCCCTTTGTTTGCATGCAAATGCATTTAATTTGAGTTTAAATACCCAAATATAAACTTTTGCCAAACAAACGCCACCACACCGAACACAGGGGCCAGGCCAGGGTCCGTAGGGAGTTGAATGGTTGGTCAGAGAAGTGCAGAGAAGGTCTGGAAGTGCAACTGAGACTGGGGGTAGCTGCAGTAATCGGTCGTTGGTTTAAGCCGCTTGCTTTTGCCTTCACCCGGTGGCCCCTCGTTTCGCCTTTGATTTATATTTACGACACACAAATTGCACTGCATTCTGTCAGCAGTTTGTGGGGCTTATCGCTCGGAGTAAGCAAAAATTTGCCAAACGTATTAATTGCTTAAAAATTGTCCGTTGTTTGTTGATTCGAGGGATGGGGGGATTTAGGGTCAGCCGCAGACAGAGTAGAGTACAGCAGTCCTACTTGGGGGAGGAGGGAAAGACTTAGGGCAACTGAGCCACAGGAAAGCCGATCAGCAGACTGCTTAGTCGAGTGCAACAGCAACAGCAGCAGCAGCAGGGAGCTTCAGCATCCTGTGGCAGCTGCCAGTGCACTGCTAATAAAGCTTAGATTGCTGATTAAACGCTTCACAGGAGGGCAGCTCACACAGCAACAGGAAAAGAAGGGGCAGCAAAAAGTTAGATACATCATACGCACCGTTGCACAGCCAGAACGAGAACGGGCACGATAGAGCGGAGCAAGGACGAGATGTCGATAAGTTGAACGTTAAGCGTATTATTATTGGCATTCTCTGAAGCCCAGGCTAGGAGCCAACGAAGTGCCAATAGATTTAGATAAACTTGGTCGCCAGCCAGCGTGTAATTGACGGCATCTGCGCTCGCCCCCCAGCAGCCAGCAGCCAGGAGTCTGGGGGTCGGACAGGAGTCGGGCAATCAGCCAAATGGCAAGCTAAAATTTTATGTAATAACCTTTGAATTTCCAAGTAGCTAAGCAGACACGGGACAGACAGTGGGACAGACACTTAAGAGGCGGGTTGTACGACAAACAAGCAACTGGCAAAGCGGCAACTTTCAAGCGGCATAGCGGCAAATGGCAAACGACAAACGGTTTGCTTTTGTTATGTTAATGGCAACACGCAGGAGGGACACGTAACAACAATTTCCACACACATGTGTGGCAAGCCAGGGCAGGGCAGGGCAAAGCAAGTCGAGAGGTGGCAAATTTTGCACTTCAAACATGCCCCAAGCTCAAAAGGCGCTAAGCCAGGAGCCGGAGCAGGGACCGGCCCATTGTGCGGTTCGCTGCTTGCTCACCTGAAAGCTGTTTGCATGCCAAATAATAAGAGTGGCAAGCATAGAGGGAGACAGCACCAGGCACCAGTCAGCAGCAGGCACCATGCACCACGCACCGCCCGAGACAAACAAGGCACTTCAAACGGCAGCGCGTTTAGATTGATCTAGCCATCAGTGGCACACACACACACACAAAACAACACAAAAAAAAAAAAAAAAAGAAACAACAAAATAAAAAAAGGGCACACACCGGGAAATTCAGGAAAAGTTTTGGCCCCAGCAGCAGCAAACCCTTTCGATGCCCAGGCGGCAGTCAGACATTTTATTAGTTTTGACAGCGCTTTGTTGCGCCAGAGCCAGAGCTTGAGCCTACACGAGGACGACGACTCAATCGAAAGGACCCGGCCAGAACCCATGGGCTCTCTGGGGCATGCTCTTTAGACACTTGACACATGCCGCTTAGGCTGTCAAGCATTCAATAAAGTCCCTGCCTCACTCAAGAAGCAACAACCCAAGCCACACACACATAGATCCCAGCCGGCGGGGGAGTGTGGGATTGAGGGAGCGTCTCTCTTCTCCACTCGCTTTTGCATAACAATAAAAGAAAACTTAATCAGTCTGGCAAATCGTCTGGGAAAGAACAACCCAGCCATTCAGATCCGATGCGAGTATCGACATATGCTCTCTGCTCTCCGCTCTCCGCTCTCCGCTCTGCTTGTAATCCGCTTATGTAATTGTAATGGCGTGATAAAAATTTATATGATTGCCCCGAAAAATATTGTCGAAACGTGTTTAATTGAATTTTTATGCGTTTAGCTTTGCTCTCGTTTGCTCTCCTGCGTCCTGCGTCCTGCATGCTGCCTGCTGCCTGATTTCCTGTGTGTGTGCGAAATAATTTCATAAAATTTCATATGCACTACATGCTGTGGCAGGAATGCAATTTGATAGAGTGTTTCCGGATTTCAATCCGGAAAATCGTTTTAGCTGCAAACAAAAAAAATCCCACAGTTGAAAGGTGACAAACAGCGCACATGATTAAATGGCGAAAACCGCATGGAATTTAAATTTTATCACTGCCATCGATGGCTGGCATGGCTCTACATAACACAGATAGATACGAGGCATACAATACTTAGATGCTGCGATGGATAAAGTGGGAGAGAGAAATAATCATGTCCCGCCCATCGATCTGCTGGGCGCCAAGGCAGGCGGCCACAAAACTTTATAGACTCTCGGGCTAATGTGGCAGCAGCGCCAGCCGCATATTTCTTCATCTAGAATATGCTCAAACACACGACTAATGGGCCATCTGGGAATCGGCGTCGCTGTCTGCATACGTTAGTGTCGCGCAGCCCACAAAAGAAAAAAGAAATATAAAATAAAATAAACCAAGAAAGAATAAAAAAAAAAAGCACCCAGAAGCAAAGCGGCAGCTAAAACCTCGAGCAACATTTCTCCTGCCGGCAATGGCAGTGCAAATATAGCCGATAATAAATTATTATCAAGTCTGTCGGATGCCGTTGCTGCCGCCTTCCGCTGCCGCTGGGTGGGTGGGTTACGGTTCGGCTTGGTTCGAGGCACTTTGCATGGCCAAACGGTAACCGGTAACCGGCAACTGGCAACCGGCAGCTTCTCATACGCCCCGTTGGACGTCAAGTTATGCTGGTGACTGGTGCAGCAGCAGCACCACCACCACCACCAGAACAGAGATGCAGAGAGATGGAGAGAAGAACTGGCATTCAATACGCTCCACTGCCAATACCTGCATATACTACTCGTGCTGCTCGTGCTACTCGCTCTACCCAGGTCTGTCCTGGGTGCCTTGCTTCTTTGCCTGCAATTGTTGCTGTGAAATTTTCTGGTAAAACGAAATTTTTTGGTGTTTGGCATAAGTCAAGTTAGCAGTTTACGCTGCAGAGGATACCAGGAGCAGTAGCATGCCACAGCCACAGGGAGAGCTATGGCAAGAGCTGGAGCTGAGAGCTGAGCGCTGGAACTGTAGCCAGTCAGTCAGTCAGGTGGCCAGTCATCTGTATAAAATGGATTTACTGCCAACTGTTGAACTGTGTGTCCTGCTCCTGCTCCAGCACCCGATTCTGCTGCTGATGCACTGCACTCTGCCCCCTCCTGCACACACTATTTACGAGTAGTACCTGCATTTCCATTGCTACTTTTGTAACTTGTTAGCGCTCCGCTCGCTTCGCTACGCTTCGACTGACTGGCTGGCTGGCTGGCTGCCCGGCTGCTGGCCCCTCACTTTTATGGCCACATTGCTTGCCAAGTTTTAACTTCTTTTCTCTCCCTCTCACCCTCTCTCTCTGTCTGTTTTTTTCTATTTTTTGTGTGGATCGGACTACTGCGAGTAGTTGAAAATTTACTTTGCGCATTATTCGATTTGTTGTCTTGGGCCAGCAGTAGTAGCAGATGGATGCGGGTGGGTGCAGGGGCAGCGGCAGGGTCCTGCACTTTACATTGTTTGCATTGGGGTTGCCCTTGCGACCCCTGGCAACTATTTTATTTTTTTTTTTTTTGTATGCTTGATGGCAATTTGCGCCCTGCTTCAAATTTGCCGCTGATTGGCTCCACATGGTTGAAGGGACTCTAGAGGGTTCCGAGCAGTCGCCCAAGGGTCCCCTTGCCCCCCTCCGCCGGGCCAATGGACCGACCTTCGGGCAGCTGTCAAAGCAAAAGTCCAATGACCAAATCCAGCAATAACAAGGGGCTAGCCGCTGTGCTGCTGCATCTCCAAATACTTAAATTCTTAAAGTACGTGTCCGACTCTTAATGGAGTTTCCTCCGGCTGCAGGCTACGGACCACGGACTCTGAGGACCCCGCATATTGCACAGTTTTGTGGCGTAAGTAAGCTCGTAAAATACAATTCAATAACGCGTTGGACTGCGCCGAAAAGTTCTTGCCCCATCTTGCCCCTTGCACTGCACACCTTTTTGCCTGACAGCGCTGTAAAATCTGTGGCATGCTGCGGCCTTAAAACGGGAATCGGGATACGGGCGCACGGCCCCGAGCCGTGGAAGATGAAGCCAAAGACGTTGGCTGAAACTGCAGCTCTGGCTGTTTGGTTGGCTCTGGGTATTGGAGCTCGTAAAAAAGAGCGGAACAAACTTATTGAGCTAGTTATGAGTTTCTCGTACATGATACTAACGGCGTCGCCCACGGCAATAATGCGAGAGCTCCTGCCTGCCACGCAGACACAAACAGGGGTGAAGCCAGGAATGGGATAGTGCCAGCGGATAACTTCCCTGTATATGTTATGGCTTTTTGGTGGCGTGTAAAACTTTTGCCACCGGCTGCAAGCTAACCGAAAAATTCAAACCGCAAAGCAGCCAGCGATCTTGAATAATGTGACCCATAAAGAATTTGCCATTAGTTGTGTTTCCTGCCCAGCAGTCGAAGCAGCAGCAGATACATTCTCTCTCCTCTCCTTGACTTGCGACACTCTTTAGTTTGCATATGAAATTAAATACGAGACACTAGTACTTGTGTACACAACCAAAGTAAAGCTAATAATAATAATAATCCCAATCCCCGTCTGCCCATTCACAGGTGTATACGGCGATGTGCAACGTGTAAAGATCTTGTACAACAAAAAGGACTCGGCACTCATACAGATGGCGGAGCCCCAGCAAGCATACTTAGGTAAGTCAAACAAATATATACATACATACATACACTACACTACACCAACAAATGAACACACAACGAAATGAAATGAAATGAAAGTAATGAAAAATCTGAATCTGAACCATCCTCGACCCAAGAGCTGCCTCGGTGGGTAGAGAAGCTCCAAGTGGTGGTGCTGCTGCTGCTGGCTGCAGGTAAAAAGAGCAACGCAAACTGCAATTTGCAGCTTGTTTAAAATGAAAATTCCAGCAACATGAAATTCCAAACGGGGGTACATTCCTTTGGAAACCGTAACCATTGCTGGTGCTGGTGCTGCTGCTGCTGCTGATGATGCTGCCACATCCACTGCAGCCTGCAAATGCAGCAAACAAAATGTATTAATAATAAAAATTTTTTAAGCGAAAAAGCTGGCACAAGAGGATGCCCACAAAGAGCCGCAGCCAGAGCTGCAGCTGCAGCTGGAGATGGAGATGGAGCTGAAGCCCGAGCTGGAAGCTGGGAGGACCCGACCGGGCGCATAAATGAAATTTTATAAGCGCTTTATTACCAGCGTGCGCCTGTACAGCAGGCAACACCTGGGTCCAGATCCAGACCCAGGACATGGACGGACACGAACCAGCACCTAGACTTCGACCCCAAACCCCATGGCCGTACCCAAGGCAACAAAGGATCTTCGCCTGTGCGGGCTGCTCAGCGGGACATGCCAATCATTTTATTGCATTTATTTGTGTGCACTTTGCCATTGTGAGGAGTCGGCTGCCAGCCAGCCAGCCAGCCAGCCAGCCTGCCTCTGCCGCTGCCCCTGCCACCCAACTGGGCTATTTCTGTACGCATTAAGCGAAATGAAAGTCCTCCTCTCACATCGCGATGCGTTAAGAGCAACCAACCGACGTGCCAAATTCCACTTTATTACAAAAACAGGAGCAGAATCAGCAGCAGCAGGAGCAGCAGGAGCAGCGGTGGTGCGGTGGTGCCAGTGGCAAGGCGATTGAAAGCGCCAGGCGCCGATGACAGTGCGCTGACAGCGACACCTTTCATTTTCAATTTCGATTTCGATTTGGTTTTATTCCATTTAACACGCCAACTATATCCAGCGGCGACCCAATGCCCACTCTCTCTCCCTGCCTCCCTCCCACTCTCCCACTCTCTTGTTGTTGTGTCTTTCGCTTGCTCGCTCGTTTGTTCGTCTGTGTTTTATTTATTCATTGCAAAAATAACTCAAAAGCCGTCAAAGTGCCCGCTGTGGCCGCCCCATTGCGCCTCTCTCTCTCTGTTAATTGAAAAGAACCGAAGCGGTTGGCCAGGACAACCATTGTACTTTATTCGAGGCTTTACGGCAGTTCCTGTTAAGCGCTTAAAATGCGCTAATTATGAACATTTAATAATAAGGTGTAGCAGGGCCTGCAGTTATTAGCTGCTTATGCTCGATGGAGGCTTATGAGCGGCCTTCTGCGGCCCAAAAAAGTATGCTATGACAATTGCAGAGCACGCCCACGCCCACGCCCCACGCCCTACGCTTTACATGCAGCGGCATTAATCGCTCGCACACATGTAATTTATCAATGATATTTTCTGTCACGACTGCTGCAGCCAACAGCCTACAGCCTGCCGCCTGCCGCCTGCACTGCAGCCTTCTGCTGTTAATAAAGTTTAAATAAATTTAATCTTCTCAATAAATGCAATGGGCGATCGAAGCAGCGGAAATTGCCAGCAAATTGCACGGCGAGAGAAACGTAAGCTACTGCATAATGAATGCCAACAACTGTTTATTGATTTAAATGGAAATAAAATAAGTGGAATGGTGGGCGGGACAAGGGCTGTCAAGGGATCGAAAATCCCAGCCCCAGTCCCAGACCCAGATCCAGCATCCGCATATGGACACATCGCCACAGGCCCTTGGGGGGCCACATTCCACGACCCACAAGAACCGCAAACTATTTTTGCCAGCTTGTCGCCAACTGCCCTCCCCCCCATCCCCCATCGGCTCACCTCCGGTGGGTATAGTATATGCAATGTTGCATTAAAAATATGCTTTGTGCTGTACTCAATTAAATTTTTAATTATCATTATGCAAACATGCATATCCGCCGCATTCTGTGTCTGTGCCCCCTGTGTGCATCCTGTGCGGCGCATTCCTTGGCTCGTTCACAGCTCACAGCTCAAACGCATTCCCCCCTTTGAGCTTTTCTTTCTTAATTATTTGTGCATGAATTTTCACTGCCACATAGAGTGTGTGTGGTGGGGACGTGGGCTAATCAGTATCAGCAGCACACTTGATGCTGCTGCTGCTGCTGCTGCGGCTGATGCATTGCAAAATGTGGTACATTTTTGCCTTTGGGTAATGTTAATTAAATTTGTCCCAAAAATTGATGGAATGCAGACCACAAAATGCCAACGGCTGCAGCTGATAAAACAACGAAACAGCCTCAAATACTAGTGCCACCAAAAGTATGTGGCGACAAAACCAGAGCCAGTCCAAATGTTTCACCAAACAAGCAAATTATTGTACTAAACAAGAAGGAGCAAGTCCTAGACTCCTCCCCGTTCATCCAGTCCCTCCTCCTGCCGCCGCCGGCTGAAACACACACACATAGAGAAATGGATGCCTGAGGGCATGGGAAAATATTAATGGGAGTGCGGCAGCATATAGACTACTAATGTGCCGCCAGGACTGCCAAATGGCAAACACTTCCGCTCCGCTCTGGCTCCTGGACACCAGGTAGCAGTCTGAAAGGGAATGAAGAAGGAGAAGAGAATGGCAATGGAGCAATGGAGATGGGGATGGAGAGTGCGCACTTATGCACTCATAAAATATTAACAAATTCATTCGTTACTTTGCCCAAACTCTCGCCAACTCCAACAAACAAAGACGATTACCGACAGCCCGGGCAAACGGAGCAGAGGGCAGGCAACTGGAAGCATGGGTAGCTCGGGTAGCACGGAGCAGGGAACAGCAGCTGTCCAGGGTCAGCCACCCACTCACCCACCCACCCACTCATGCATAGGAAAGTGTCTCGTAAGGTGCTGTGCGTTATGCCATTGAAGGTGTGGGGGAGCTGTCCTTGTGTCGGGTGTGAGCGTCCAGTTCCCCACAAAATACGGCTACAATTGCACACTCAGCATACGAATTACAGCGTAAAGGCGCAAAAAACTTTTTGTAAGTGAAGTCAACAGCAAAATGGGAGACAACACCGGGTGGTGATGGCAACGGGCAGGAGGGTGTAGCGAACGATATAGAATGGACACGGAGACACAACTCGGCCGAAACAAAGTGCGACAGCAATCAGAAGGCAAAGACAGAGGCAAAAATAGACTAAAACACACAATGAAAAAACAATAAGCATGGGCAAGGAGCCCAAGCACCTCCCCGAAACCTAAGCCACGTCCAGCCTGAGGTGTGTGTGTGTGTGCGGGAGTGTGCAGGGATATTGTAATAGCAGCAGGAAATCGGAGTCGAGGGAGTAGAGAGGCTGGGAATGGACTGTGGTGGAACGGGAACTGAAATGGTTGCTGGGCGGGATTAAGTTTTTGGGCAACTTATTACAAAACTATGTATAGGACAGACACAGTCGCCCACAAATTTATTGGCACACTCCCAGCAGCTGTCGTCTACTGCGAATGCCTGCGTGATTCCATGGCCTGCCTGCCTGCCACCTGTCTCCTGCATGACTGCTCTTTCTCCGCACCGCTCCATTCCATTCCACTCATAGTGGGGAATTTTGCGTAAATAAATTTGCAGCTTCTGTTATTTCGTACAAATTACTACCAAATATTTTGCATAAGCATACGCATAAAGGCATTTACAATAAAAGCAAACAAACACGCGCACACACACTGGCGCACACACACACGCGCAGACATATGTTGGCAACATTCTATGGCCATATATATTATGGTCCATTACGCATACGCCATGTGGAATCTCGGGTGTCTGTGTCTGGCTGCTGCCCTGGAAATACGAGTAGAGTTTTGTGAAAGTTTTGGCAGATCTCTGGGGCTATGGTGCTGTGGAGCGGCCCTTTCTCCCTCCCCTGACTGTTTGACAATGCTAAGTGACTGTTTGAATGACTTGGCGACCGGCACTCAGTCGGTCCGTCGGTCCTTCGGTCCGTCGGTTGGTGCTCACAATTAATTACGGTGAGGGGAAACGACTCGCAGAGGATGTTTTGCATAGTTTACGAGCCAGAGATAATAAAGTGTCTGGCAAGTGCAGAGCTATAGATCATAGTCAAGGCATTGCCGGACATTAATCGTTCAAATCATGAAAGTTACAATTGAGTTCTCTCACAAACCAGGCAGGCAGGCACACACACGCACAGCACACAGTTACCTTACACCCCCCACCGTAAACTCCTGCCTCACCTGAGCCGCCGCTGCTTCCGGAGCAAACAACTCCGAGTCCTCTGGGTAGTGTCCCAAGTGTATGGGGATGCTTAAAAGTCTTAAACCAAGAACTTCATGCATAAAACAGAGCAGAGGCAGAGACAGAGCCAGAGCCAGAGACCCTCTCAGAGCTCTCCCTCCAGCCACGAGTCATTTCACTTACTTTTTGGGACCTCTGTGCTCAGCTGTGCGTGTGCAACTCCTTTTGCTTCTTTGTTTTTGCAAGTTAATAATGATTTGTTGTTGTTGTTGTTCCTATTGCTGCTGCTGCTGCTGCTGTCAGCCTCGTAATTAAAAGTTTGAGATACTTTTTGAGTTGGGGCACAGTTCCGGCACTAGACCCCCCATCCAAAGCCAAAGCCAGCAGCAGCAACAGCAGCAGCAGCTGCAACACTTTGCGGCTCGTAGGCAAAGTTGGCGGCGGCTCGTCTCTCCCCCTTCTTTGGGGCAAGTGTCTCGCCTGCGCATTAATCTTTATTACAAGTGTTTGTCATACAACGACAACGAAACAAGGAAAGAACAAAAAAAAAAAAAGTGTTTAGGTCGCATATGAGCACCAGGGCCCACAGCCTTTGTCACTGCTGCTGCCGCTGCTGCTACTTCCTTCTCTTATTTTACAATTTATTATATTCCTGGGCCTGTGGTTTATTTTTTTTTATTTTTTGTAAAATCATTTAATCCATTAGGCGAACAATAAACGGCTGAGTAAGCATATTACTTAACAATAAAACAGAGCAGGCCCAACCCCATTTCCAATCCCATCTCCCAGCTGCCATTCCCTTCCGAAACCAAATCGTGACAACTGCTCCTACAATGATAAAATGCTATATAATTTATTAATATAATGCACGGCAAATGAAATTGAGAAAAAGGATATCCAGCGCCTTGGACACTTGCGTGGACTAAGCCTTTGCATGATGCGGCACAAAGGGCATGGTACGACGCTATTGGGGGGTTGGGGATGTGGGCAGAGTGAACTGAAATTAAATAAAAAGAAAGTAATCGAAATTGAAATCGAAAACGAATACGAAAAACGAAATGGAAGTGGAAGTGGAAATTGAACTGTATTTAAGTACGGCTGCCTCTGGCCATGGCAAAGGCATTGCAGCACATGCAGTTCTGAATGCTGTGTGTGTGCCGCAGGTGTTATGAGAAATAAGGCAACAGTCCCACGGTCCAACATCCAATCGAAGCTGCTAGCTGCTGGCTGGAGTTGCAAGTGGGAAGGAGATGGGTAGCAGGAAGATGGCACCGGCACTGGCACTGCTCAAGCGAAGTTTTTGTTTGGTCTGTAATACTTTTACGGCCAAGCAAGCACATTACATTTCTGCTTGTATAAATCACCAAAGGCAGACGACATCGACATCGACATTGATAAAGTTGCAGTTACATTTCAGTTTTCAGTACAAACTACGAGCTCTGGCACAAGTATGTAAATATTTGCCAGCACTTATTGCTGACTTTGTTCAACTTCAACGAGTGGCGGCGGCGCCGGCTACGGAGTCTCTATTGGCGATGGCTCTATATGGGTCTGGGGTGGCGCCACAAAACAATTTTATGGCTTGTGGCACAGCATATAAATTGCATTTGCAGTCACAGATATACAGATACACAGATACAGATACACAGCCCACCAATTTGACGAGCATATGGCCCCAAAAAAAAATACACAAAACAAAATAAACTTTGCCCCCTAAACTTGTATTGTGTGCAGTAATTCTAACGTGTTTGTTTGTTTGTTTGCTCGTTCCTTTTGTTACAGCCATGTCTCACCTTGATAAATTACGTTTATGGGGCAAGCCGATACGTGTCATGGCCAGCAAACATCAGGCCGTGCAGCTGCCGAAGGAGGGACAGCCGGACGCGGGCCTGACACGTGACTACTCGCAGAATCCGTTGCACCGCTTCAAGAAGCCCGGCAGCAAGAACTACCAGAACATCTATCCGCCATCGGCGACACTGCATTTAAGTAACATTCCGTAAGTATCGTTCCTTGGCACTCACCAGGCAAACCGTTTAAAGATGCCGTTGCCGATGCCTCACAGCTGGAGGTGCTGCCTGCCTGCCTGCCTGCCTGCCGCCTGCCCGTTCGTTCGCTCGGTTTTTTTTTCGTTTGTGCTGTCCTACGGCATCGTCAATGAGGCGTTGGCAGGCGCTCTATGGTGCGGCACGACACTGCCTGATAGGATAACAGGCACACAACGAACCCAAACCCAAACCCGAACACAAACCCGGAGCCGGGCACGACAAGGCAATTACAATTACCGCTATGAGCAACAGCCCGGGCTGGTTCTGGGGCTGGCGCCCCGCAACGCCTTGTCTGCCAAATATGACAAAGCGCCCTGCCAGGCCATTGTTTGCTCCTCTGGTTGGGATGGGGCCAGGACCTCCCTGCTCACCGCGCTCCTCTGCCTAAAATTTATGAGGCAGCTCCAACGGGGGGGGAAGCGCCTGCCGAGACGATATCAATGAACGGGCCGCACAGCAGCAGGCACAGCAGGCAGTGGGCAAGGGACAGGGCCAAACGCTCATACATAAATCGATATCAGTTAATTTTAAACCGAATCTAACCTATGTATCATTCGTGCACCCCACAGCTCATCCTGCTCCGAGGATGACATCAAAGAAGCCTTCACCTCAAACACTTTCGAAGTCAAAGCATTCAAATTTTTCCCGTAAGTAATTGGAATTGACTCTTGGCGGACGGAGACAGAGACTAACGAGAAGATTCTTTTCACCTTTTGTGCTTGCAGCAAGGACCGCAAAATGGCGCTGCTGCAGCTGTCGTCCGTGGAGGAGGCCGTCCTGGCACTAATCAAAATGCACAACCACCAGCTGTCCGAGTCCAACCATTTGCGCGTGAGCTTCTCCAAGTCGAACATCTAGAATCCGATTCGTGGTCAGGTTTACTGAACCTGACTGGGTGCCGGCAGCAGCTATGTGCACCACCACCACCAGCTACAAGTCTATTGGCAGCAACAGATACAATCTATTATTCGTAGTACAAGAAGGATGCACGCCCACTTCAACTGAGGATTAAGCACCGTAACGTGGCGAACCCCAAAACCCAAACCCGCACCCGAACCCGAACCTGAACCCGAATCCATTCGAATAGAATCAAGTCGAATAAATGCAATCCAACTCAATCCAATCCAATCCAACCTAACCGATCAACCGATCAACCAGCGGCAACAATCGATGTATGAGCTATACCAACAGGAAACAGATGAGCATATTACTCTAACCTAGGATCTGTCCACTCTGTGTTCCGCAATCGTTACAATCGAATATCGAATGGCACAGGACAAACACCGAGAGTAATCTTAACTAAATTTCTAAAATTTCGAAATCAAAATCAGAAAAAAGAAAACAAGAAAATAAGAAAACAAAATGCTAAACGTTAAATAAATAAAAAAGTATAAACTGAAATTATATATGAGGAATTAGCATTTCAACTTACGGCGCACGCAGACAAAGCAAACAACAAACAAACAACCCACTAAACAATCAGCAACATCGTATCTTAAGCTTAACTTTAAACTATAGTTTGTAAGTAAATTGCATTGCATAACAAAAAAGGATATATAACAAAAACAAAACAAAACAAAAAAAAGAGGTTTAACGCGAGAATAGAGGAAAAAGTAAATTTAAATGAAAGAGAATAGATGATGATCGTAAATTAGAGATATTTTTAGTGCACTGTACTGTGTTTTGGTTTTAAAAAACGTCAGAAAGTCAGAACGAAAGAAGAAAGGAAAGAAAGAACAAACAAAACGAAACGAAAGAGAGAGAGAAGAGAAATTATGTTAAAAATGAATTAAGGCAAAAACTTTTTATTATGTATATGATGCTGTTATTATATTTTAAATGAATGCAACTTAACATTAATTTTTTTATAAATATGCAAACAAATCAATTGCAAGAATCGCATAGACGTAGCTCTTAAATGTTTTTCATTTTGTTAGACTTAGCGAACGAGTGGAGAGTATTTAGTGGAGATGAAGATGGTCCCGAATTGCACACCGAGTCCTAGGCATTGAAGCGAACAGATGTGAAGTGGATTAGTAGAGTTTATGAACAAAACTGAGAGAAAAAAAAAATGTATTAAATTTGAAATAAGTTGAAATAAATCGGCCACTTGGACAATGCGAAAATCTATGATATATATATATATATATCCAAGAAGGCGCACTTAGCTCTCGTCTGTTTGTTTAGCATTACTGATTACTGAATACTGATTACGTGAGAATAATAATTTTTAAACGGCAGTTAAATCAACGCGTACGTAAACCCTATGTGTGTATGTATATGTAAATGTTGTTAAGCTAGCGCAAATTATACACAAATGGATCAAATATATATACATCTGTGTAAGTATGTATTGAACTACAACAAACCATGAAACAGGAAATTAAACAAATTTTAAGCTACGAAACAGTATAATCTCAAAATGAAACAACAAGAAAACAAAAACAAAAAACAAAAGAATGAAAAGGAATGGTAATTATATATTTAATCATAGGCATACTAGTAACGAAAGACATATACGTGTTTTAGCAACAAACAAAACTGAATGATTTTTTGATAATTTTACAAGAACCCCACAACATACACACACACACACACATGCAACACATCGACACACACACAAAGAGTACACACACACACACAAAATCAAACAGATACACTCATATATGAAAGTTTATATATATTTAGAAAGTGAAATTATTTATACGTTGGCGCAAATGAACAAACAAAAAGAAAAACAAATAAAAAGATGAAAAAAAACACAAAAAGGTTAAAAAATCAACTAATTGTAACTTAATTGATATGGATTTAGTTAGTAAGAATGAGTAGCAGTGATCGTAATTTAAAATTAACAAAAGCTAAAAAATAAAACAAAAAAAAACCGAGACAGAAACACAGGAGAAGCATACAAATCACAATACAAATTAAAACAAAAAAAAGGTAAAAATTAAATGAATGAATAAATATATATATGTATATGCATATGTATATATATATGAAACGTGTACGAAAAGCAACAGTAAAATATTGTAAAAGTGTAAATCGTATTGAAATACTATATTTACAGTTGTCAGAAAAGTCGCAAGCGGTGCAGAATGTGGTTGAAAGTGGCACAGAAAGAACAGAACGTAACGTAACGGGTGGGGCGGAATGTTTTAAAGGAGCTCACGGTAAACAAAACAAAAAAAATAGTTGAACAAGCCTCCACAACCCACATTTTTCACGCAAACACAGAATGCTTACAGAAAGAACGAACGTTTTGAGCCACCAACACCTAGCGTTTCATATACATAATGCAACTTACTATCTAACTTAACTTTAACCTTATACTACCTATTTATCATACTACATACGAATGCTCTATGTCTATGTCTACCTACCTACTACTTATATACCATATACACTATATACATGTTTTGTTAGCGCATCGATGCAAGGTAAAGCGATATGATATGCTATATATACAATATACATACATACTCGTACGTTTATATCAAAACCCACGACTGCTAGAATTTCAACTGAGAACTCTTGACAAATCAAAAAAATTTCATACAAGTATTTAGCGAACTTAATCTACAACTTCATACCCCAGAAGCAAAAACATACAATACATACATACAATAAGTATATGAAAAAAAACTAATGCACAGCCAGACACACACACACACACACCCACACCACACACAGACAGAGTCCACACACAATTACACCTACATACTCGTACAATCCAGAATGGATATAGAGTGCATGGGAAGGGGATCATGAGCAGCATAGCATCCTGGGGCTGTCCTTTGGTATGCATTCAAAGCGTTCAAAGCGTAATCAAATATTTAGCCCAACGATAATATAGAATCAATTTTGCGCTTCAGCGTGTAAATGTTGATAGTGAATACGACACCGAGAAAGCAGCATGCGAATTAATAGAACTAATACAGAATCTAAAACTACAGTTTAAAGATCGGAATACGAATTATACACAGTAAAATGTAGCAGATACCGCAACATTTAAAAGTACATAAAATGAAAAATTAAACACAAGTGAACGAAGGAGAGGAGTATGTAGGATGTGCAGAACAGACAATGCAGAATGCAGAATGCAGCTAATTGACAAAACAGTACACTAAAAAAAGTATTACTTTACCAAGTAGAGAAAACCACAACTAATAATTAATTTACAATTTAATTGAGGAACCTAAAATTGAGAACCTGCTAAGGAAAGGTGTGAATAATCAACGTACATCCCATAAATACATACTAAATTGTTGCATTTGTCAAAGTCAAAGTGATCTCGTTCGACTGACATTGCTGGCGACGATCAGGGGAGCCACGGAGGGGGTCCCACAATTGCATTAGCCTAAAAAGATCTAAACTAAAACATAAAAACAGAAAACAGAAGCCAACAGTTTTAAGTTGTACAGTACGAGCTGCAAGACGAGATTTTACCAAAATGCAAAGTGAAGCATAACAAATTGAAGACTAATCGTGGATTACATATATATATATACCATATACCAGTATATGCACAGGTTCATATGTTGTGAGGTATCGGTGGACGTGTGCGACATACTGCATGCATACTGCATACTTACGTGCTACTTTTACAGTTAGAGAAACCAGATATATATATATGTGTATGTACTATATGTAATTGTAGCTATAACTATATATATATATAAATGTATCGAGAAGGAGTGCAGCAAGCAGCAAATTATTAGAAACATAGCGATCAGTCAAATCGGAATGCAGTCAGAGGATGGAAACTATACATGAACCAAAAGGAAATCAAAGTAGGAGATGGGGAGAGCAAAACAGGAACCATTTTTGTTTTACTGAAATCACATGCGCAACATATACAACATGAACAGAAACATATCAGCATTGTTTGACACATATGAGTAGTTAATTTTAAACAATCACCTTTTTTTTACTGCCCCAACCCACACACAACCCACAGCACCCCAAACCAATATTTCAGTTCAGCTTAATCCAGTTCAGTTCCACGCACACACCAGACACCACACCACACCACACCGACACCGACACTGGTACAGATTCCGTGACGAAGCTCCCGGCATTATTACATATATGAATACATTTACAAATCGTTAGTTTGGCAAAAGTCAGAAAAAGTAATACTTAAGGATTAATGGAGGGGCACCAAAGTCGTAGAGAATATGTTTGAAGTTTTGGCAGAAGACAAAAAACCAAGTGGAATTGCATATACTAAATTGTACAGTTATCAATTTTTGTTGAATGTTTTTAGAAGGGAGATGGAGGGAGATTCATGCGTTTTTGTGCTCGGTATCCAGTATCTTTAGTAGCTGAAATTTTGTGTATGATTTTAAGTGGAGACGAGACGAGGCGCCAATCAAAAATGTTGTTACGTTTATGGTTTTGTTCATTTGTTTTGTACAATTAGACAAACGTATACAACTAATATACAATATATACATATACATATGTTTATAGTTAGCGAAATCTGGATGTGTTCTACGTGCTACTTTTACACAGAACTTATTTCTTTGCATTTGAATTGTGTTCCCGAGACACTCACACGCACTTACACATACCAAACATACCAACCATAGTACGAGTACAGCAAACAGTTGACAACAGGCAGAAGTTCCTACTTTTAGTAAAACTGATAAATGATTAAAACATATTTAACTAACCGAGATAAATTGCAGCAGTGAATTTAATATGTACACACACATAAAGTCAATATTTTAATTCGATTACCTTACCAATCAATTGCCGCTTTACTTTAACACTCGCTTTTTATTGAAGTTGGATTTCCTTGGTCTGTCTATCACTTGTGAATATCTGGTGCGGCTTTAGCATTAGTCAGGCATTATTGCAAAATTTAAATAGGGTCCAAGTTTAAAATAATACAAAAAATACAACTCAGAAGGAGGGGAATAAACGAGGGGATATGAAGTGGCGAAT